CTGAACATGCTTGTGAAAGATTGAAGTGTTTATTACAGCTTCAGCAACATTTGCTGCCTCTTCTTTGAAACATTGCTCCATAAATTTGCTGGAGCTGCTCCTTTGCAAATGTGCTATTCTGTCCCTGTCTGTAAACAGTAGCTTTCGGTGTTGATTGACTCGTACTTGTGGCGTGCAACCAATCAGATGGCGCTGATTTTAAACTGAGTGATTACAGAGAGAAAAAAAGCAAGCTTCATCAGAGCCAAAGTAGTACATTAAATTATTTTTTATCAGTAATCTTCTAATAAAAATAAAAATGACGATTTTGGCCCCGACAATCAGCCAGGCTGATAATCAGTCAATCCCTAATGAGTAATCAGCATAAGTGGATAGAGAGTTATGACCTGCAGTAATTAGTGATATTTCAACTTAACCATATATGTGCCAAGACCACCCTGTATTGTGTCTGTGTTGTGTCGTTGAAAGAAACAGCACCTCTAGTGAAACAGGCTTCTGCCAACTAGTGCAGAAGCAAATTGCTTGCTGTGAGCCATGTTCCTTTATAATGAACATTCCAAAGTATTGCCTATTGCAGCAAGCCATTAACTGTACACGACTCAGCTTGGAGTAGCCTGTGGGGTTGATGTTAAGTATCCTGTTACAGGCAACATAAAGTGAATGCTCTGAGGCCCACGCAGTATCATAACGGACAGATCCAAGCTGTACTACTACTACTGTAGTATGGGAATAGCCTGTCCTTTAGCAGACTGGAGGATTAGTGTGTGTTGTAAATCTGCACCATTTTAGTGTCTGTGCTGAAAAGGTCACTTTGCTTTTGTTGAGTTGCTGTGAGGTCTGTGAGAAAGACTGTCCATGCTTGTGAGGGAAAATTGCATTTCCTGAAATTCTAACGGCTCTGTCAGCTTTGCAAGCTGGGAGATAGATTAAAAAAACAAAAAAAACCTACAAAAGTACCTAACTGCCCAAACCAGCCAGTGCAGGAACAGTGAAACAATCACATGTATTCTGTAAAATACACTCAACTGAGTCATTGAGGAACAAGCAGAGATGGCAGTTAAGGAAGGTGTTGTTGTCATTTTCTGGAAAACTTTTATTTTATTCAAAATTTTTGTATTTGCAGTTGATTTGTTTCATAGTGTATTCATACTACATACTCATTTTACACTATCAGTAAATTTGGCTTTACGTTTTCAGATTGCTGCTGCCTACTCAAGGTGTTCTGTAATTGCTCAAACTGTCCTAAAATGGAAAGCATTCTGGCACATCTTGAATTTGTCATTTTAAGAAGCTTTATTTGACTGATTTCCACAGGCCCCAAACCACAAAGCTGCCAGGCTTTTGGTTTCAATCAAGTGCCCTTTGTAACTTGTTGGTCTATTTTTTCCCCCCAATAATACTTTTTGCATGGTATGTTACCAAAAAGGGTTTTATTAGCTCAGCCCAGCAGTGCAGCAAAGGGCTGACAGGTCCAATCATGTAACTCTCAACAGGAACAAAGACTTCCATGAGGCAGCAGACCAACATGCTCACTTCTGAAAGGCTAAATTAACATGAACTGTAGCAAATGTTTAGTTGTCTTAAACAGTGCAAAATGTTTTTTTTGTAGCATGTCATGAGCTGCAGTGTATCTGCAGAAGAAAGATGAGCTAACAGTGGATGTATATCATGAAAGACATTGCCACTGAAGGCATTCTGTGTACCGACTTTACCATTAAAGAGCTTCATCACAGCTGTTGTAGGACCTGTGTGATCAGTGCTTTTGAATGGAACCATTTTCACTGGCAGTTGCTTCTGTTCTCAACCTGTCATGGTCGCATAGATTAGAAGCAATGAGCCTTCGTGATAAAAGTGGGATTTAACAGGGTCATATGTCCAAATGGCTCGCGTTTGATCAAACCCCACACAGAGTATCACACGGACAGGCCCGTCGGTACAAAACACCGCTGATGTTTGACGAACACAAACGTAATCTCACGCTCACCATCACACACATGCAAATCTTTGCAGTGTTTTTCTTTGGTCACCACAGAGACAAAGTTTTCTAACTGGTATAAGTTGCCAAAATGGCAACAACCAAGGGCTCCAGCTATAAAAAACAAAGTCAGTGCCTAGATCTTGTGCTTCTTGTCATTTGAAGCAGTTGCCCTTCAGTTGCCATTTAAAGTTGCCAGCATATGAGGATGGCTCAAGTGGCCTCTCTGAAGAGTAGCTCAACAGTTGTCCATGTGAAAGCAATGCTTGTGTGAGAGCAGAGCATGATCCTGCCCAGACTTCTTTACATTGGCATTCCAGCAAGGAATGTTGTGACGAATAAAAATGTTTAGCTAGAAATGTGGCACAGTAATTTTTTTCTTGAACCAGTGTTTTGATACTTTACACATACGTTGTTGTTGTGGCAATACACATGACTGTATCTACTCCTCCACCTCCCTTCTCGCCACTCTTTGGTCTGACATTGTACCCTCACCTCTCTGCAGTCGGCTGCCCTTTGGCTCTTCCTTGTAATAAAGTGTGCGGGATACTCCACAACACACTGTGAAAAAGCAGGTTGTGAAAGAGAGGATGGTTTAATGTGTACCGGTATATTGGAGTTGTTTTCAGCTGAGCACAGCATGTTGTCCAAAAAACTGTAAAAGAATACGGTTGTATGTCTTTTGTTAAAACATAACAAGAGATTGGCTTTTGTTTGCTTCAAAGGATCAGTATCTAAAAGAATAAGGGTGCCATGTTTGGAAAAGATTGTGTATGTATTGAATAGTTTTTAACAACATTGTGACAGGTCATTTTTCTCATGTGCTTCGTAGGTGTGTTGTTGTTTTGCTGAATTTCTACCTCTTGTCTCCACAGTGCTCATGTTGGGAGGTTGTGACCTGGTAGGACTCTCCCCTCCGTTAAGCCTTAAGTCTGAGCGGCCAGTGTGCGTCAGCCAGCAGCAGCAGCTCCGTCTCAGTAAGTCCTTCACTGTTTTTCTTTGTAGCTTTTTCTGTCATATCTAGACGATTGCAATTGTTTTCCAACTTTGGTTATGCATTTAGTAACATGGTGATGATTTGTCCAGCTGTAATTCAGATGCAAACCTAATGCTGTCCTAATTGTTATTGACGAGATGGGGCGGTAAAGTGTGTTTAGTGAAAATGCACACATGACAGGGTGTAATAAAACAGAAGGAAAGGTGCTTCTAAACCTGTTAAGCTTCTGTTTTTCTTGAAAAAACGAAGTTATGCATTAAACGTGATGTAGCTGCTTTAACAGAAAATGAAGAAAAAATAGTATTTGTAAAACATTTTTTTGTCAAATTCTCGTGCTTCTTTTGTTATAGTACCATCAAAGTCTTGTTTTAGACCAGACATACGTTTTTAAGTTAGTCTTAAATTCCTCACATTCTTGATTCCTTTTGTGCAACCATTCTGTTACATATTCACATGGTGTCTAATCTCTGTCCCCTTTGAATGCTCTCACTCTCTCTTTCAGTTCATTACAGCTTTTTATCCAAATCGCATCATAAGTCATCTCACGACAAGACCTCACTATGTGATATTCCAGATAGAAACCCAACACATCTATTAATTCCCTTTGAGCAACATTGTGGAAGGAAAAAAAGCTCACTTTTAACACAAATAAACCTCTGGCAGAACCAGGTTTAGGGAGGGTGGGCATCTGCCTCAACCTGCTGGGTTGAGAGTAGAACAGAGGGTAAAAAAAAAAAAAAGAAGTCACAATCTAACTTGTCTGACATTTTCTCAGATTTTTCTGTGGCTCATATTAAGGTTGACCATACTCATCCTTGATTTCATGTATTGTGCAGTAATTACATTTAGAAATATACCTTCACCTGAACACCATCTGTTATGATGGAGAGTGAAAGAAAACCAGTTTGTAAGTAAGCCAAGCAGCAAAATAAGAGGTTAAAGTGATGAAATGATTAACACTTACAGCTTCTGCTGAATAGTAATAATTGTGTAATAGTAGCAATATCGATTGGTAAATAATTATTTTTTTTAAGTCAGCTTGTCCTTACCGCTTTATATGTACTCTGTCCTCCTGTTTCTATTTACATTCTGCTCTCCTTTCTTGTCGAGAATTTAGATTTCCAAGGTCAAAATGGCTGCTCACAAGCAATTTGTCTCCTAATAGCAGGCAGCACATGAATGTTTGCAACAACAGCAGAGCTTAGCTTCATGCATCATCAGAACCAAAGAAGAAACAGTAGATAAAAGAAGCTGTCACACGTTGTGTTGTACATCAGTTAGTCAGAATATTCCACCAAATGCCTTACCATGTACCACGAATGTTATGTGGTAGCCTGTATCATTTTCTTTGCTGATAAAGCCCAGGAGCCCAAACTTATCATGTGGATGCTGCCGTGCTGAGACGTCAGAGCAGTTGTTCTATCACAGAAAGTATTCAAAATGTTCACGTTTTGAGTGTCCTGGAATGCAGTGTGAGACTTGTGACATGTGACTCATCTCGTAGTTGATTTCCAAACTCTAAAGGCAAGAGATTGTGAACAGTGTATCATCACTGTGCAACCTCTAAGTGAAACTATGGTCTTCAAATAGGTTTGATGATAATGATAAAATCTATATACACTAAGGTCTTGTCTATTTATTTTAAACGGGGACAGTGTACATTAATAAAACATTTCTGTAAATCTACACAAGCCATGGACTAATTTTCATCTGTAGTCTCTGGCCAGATGATGTCAAAAGCATCCTGAAAATGGTGTTCTCTCACTCTTTGTTACAGAACTGACAAAAGTAATCCTTTCAATTATTTCCTGCTACATCCAGGGTCTGTTTTTGGGTCCTCCTCTTCCTCCAGGTTTTAGTGAAAGAAATGTGACCTCTTAACTTACTTTCTCTTGTTTATCTTTCTCTCCAGCTATCAGCAAGTCTCCCTATGGGTGAAGTGCATTCATTGACATTGTAATCAGCCCCAGAGGTCGTGATTTAAAAGGCCTTCAGTCCCGAGATCCTCCCTCCACATCCAACATCAACATGGGGGAGGTGGTCCAGATGCACTTCACCACGGTGGACTACGTCATCTTCGTTTTGCTGCTGGTGGCCTCAGCTGGCATTGGCCTCTTTTATGCCTTCTCTGGTGGGCGTCAGCGCACGACACAGGTAGACTTTGGTGCTACACGGAAATAAAGATTGAAGAGTGCTGGGTCAACTTCAGCCGTGTTCGTAGCCATGATGTCTGAAGCCAACATTTTGTTTGTGACAGGAGTTCCTGATGGCCGACCGCTCCATGAGCTGCCTGCCTGTGTCTCTGTCTCTGCTGGCCACTTTCCAGTCAGCGGTGGCCATCCTGGGCGCTCCGTCTGAGGTGTACACGTTTGGGACGCAGTACTGGTTCCTGGGCTGCTCCTATTTCTTGGGGCTGCTCATCCCAGCTCATGTATTCATACCAGTCTTCTACAGGCTGCGGCTTTCCAGCGCCTATGAGGTATTCACAGAGTTAACACACAACTCTTTTTTTTTTGTCCCCCTTTATCTCTATAGACATTAACTTGCATGCATACTACATAAACAAAATTCAAATGTTTTACTTTGGTCAGCAACTTAAGCCCGTCTGTATTCTCTGTGGTTATTGTTTTGACTTTGTCATGTCTCATATGTATCTTTTTGTTCAGCACTTTTCTTGCATGCACAAAAAAGGAGAGGATTAACCATCTGAACCCCAACGAGATTTAGTTTGTTTTTACCCCCTGTAGTCTCATTTTTCATTGCAATATAAAGTCCTGCACGTCTATGGAAACAGCACAACCATGTCTACAACTAATGTTACAATGCCGTGAATTATTTTTTAAAAAAATACTAGAAGTTAAATTGAGTACAAAAATGTAAAATACCTGCAATCAACATTGACAACTATTTTCCAAGAGCCCACACATGTAACCAATACTGTAGAAATGACGGCTCTACATACAATTCAGATTTTTCTACTTGTAATTTGAATGTGTTTCCCTTCTGTCTCCTTACACCGCCTGCAGTTCAGCTGAGGATTACCTGAATTTTTGTCACAACTGTTGGTGCCAGTAGGATAAAGTTAATTAAATATCCCAAATTTTTGTTTGGATTTGGTTGTTTTTCTTGACGAAACCAAAAGTCACACATGATTAGTTTGCGGCTTGCTAGGCAGTTGACCAGTCAAAGATTTTTTCTGTCTTTACAGTTTCTGGCTGTGACAAATTGAGTAACTTCGATTATTTTTAATATATTTTTGAGTGGGTTCAGAGGGTTAATGCACAACAAGCACGGATAGTTCAACTCGACTGTACCACCGGTGGATTTATGACCTGTTGTGTGTTTCTTTAAGTAATTTTTAATTGTAATGTACTCTTTTCTCTGTCAACATTTATTTTTTTTTATTACACTCTACACACTTTTCTCCTGCTTCTCCTGTCTTTGGCTTTCTCAAGTATGATCTCAGAGCTTAACATTCTTATCTATCTTCTTATCTGTCTTAGCCTTGACGTGTTTACGTCCAAGAGGAGCAAGTGGTGCCCTTGTCTCAAGACTAAACATCTGTCAGGGGTCTTTATCTTTAGTCAGACTTATTGTTCGTCACGTGAATCTCAAGGACACTGATCAGTCATTCTCTCGAGAACTGCTGCAGTAACATCACGTGAACCAAAAAACATCTGACTTTGATGATCAGAACCTAAACTGACGGTTCTGATCCTGAGATTAATCATCTACCATGCTGACTATATATATTACAGGATGTCTCTGAGATGATATGTAATCAGACTTTTGATTTTTGCTCTTTTTTTTGTTTGTTTGTTTTTTTACATTATTTCCTTAACAGTATCTGGAGCTGCGTTTTAACAAGACGGTTCGCATATGTGGGACTGTGACCTTCATCTTTCAGATGGTATCTTGTCTGCTTCATATTTTATGTGCATATTGATGTAGAGTCTTTGTTGTGTCAAAGTGATTTTACCTTCACAGCTACATAGTTTATACTTAAATCTGCTGAGACGGATAGTAATGTAATACTTGTTTATTGCAAATTGTTCTTCAGTAGAGACAGAAAGTCATTAAGAAAGACATTTACCATCTAAATAACAATAAAACTTTATGCTTGATTATTTAAATAAAGTTTAGCCTTTGTTAACTTGACCTTTATCCATATTAACTTTTTGATTGGAGGAATGATTAGGTATCTGGATAAGAAATGTGTGTGTACTATAATGGATATGTGTCAAACAACCGTTGATTATAAAGAAATAACAGACCAAAGAATGCCCTCACGGGTAGTTTATTTATCAGTCAGGCGGAAAGTTTGGCCTTGGAAATGTCACCCTGACTGTTGTAAAGCTTCTGTTATGGTTTGAATCCTCTTTTTACGACGTTAACAGCGTCTTCGTCAGTTAGATCATGAACAGGGTTCAGTTGTGTCTTGCACTTTTCCAGACACGTTGTTAATTGTTATTCCTAAAGGTAATGAACAGATAATTGCTTAAACCTAATTGTGAAATGGGTATAAATATTGATTAGTAGTGGGTTGCTCAAGGACTGCTTTGTATTTTGTTCAGAAAATAATGAACACTTAAGTTATTAGACTACTCCAGGTCCTCCTCAAAAGCAAATGTCAGCTCAGCCAGGTAGTGGCTTACTCATTTAAATAGGTGTTTATCATCTCTTTAAAGTCAAATGCTTTTTGTTTAGTTTTGATGGGGGTTTTTTTTGTTTTTTTTTAACATTTAAGTGCATTTTCATGTGAGTCCGTTAGCTTCAAAAATGATCTCAGAACTTTGCTCTGTTTTGGTGAATCTTCAGTCCTGCAGTGTTGTTTTCTGCCTCTGCAGGTCATTTATATGGGGGTCGTCCTGTACGCTCCAGCACTGGCACTGAATGCAGGTAATCACAATTTATTTCTTTACAACGTATGTCACACTTCATTAATCTGATATTTTCATACCCAGGAGAGCCAACATTTGGTGGATAAAGCACATTGTGTCGCTTTCTAGGACAAAAATGTTCACTTAAATGGTTGAATAACTTTGGTGATAGTTTCACTGTGTTCACTTGTAGTGACGGGGTTTGACCTGTGGGGAGCAGTGTTGGCCATGGGCTTGGTCTGCACTTTGTATACTGCTCTGGTAAGTCACTGCACTAATGCTGATTTCATCAGTGATTAATGTGTCAAATATATTTCTTGATTATTTTTTTAACAAAAGCTAAACAGTAATACCTTTTTGAAAAGATGGTCGTGTATATATTTACTAACAATAAATTAAATCTAAATGTTGTGAGTTTCTTTAGGAGTTAACTATAATCCATCCTGTACGTGACTGAAAATTCTTCAGTTATTTTTTCCAGGAGCTCTGATGTTACTTGTTTGCTGCACACTTTTGCTGATAACTTGTACTGATGAGTGAACGTAACTACGAGTTAACATGTTTCTGTCTCCCAGGGAGGCCTAAAGGCAGTGATCTGGACCGATGTATTCCAGACAGTGGTGATGTTTGCAGGCCAACTGGCCGTCATTGTGGTGGGGGCCGGTCAGGCAGGAGGCATAGCAGAGGTCTGGAGGAAGGCCACCAATGGCAGTCGCATCGCTGGACTAGAGTGAGTTGAGCACAATTGAATTAACTGCTACTCGTTTCTTTTACTTGTTGTAGTGCATACAACTAGAAGGAGAGACGGTTTCCTCTCTGGAATAAAGACTACAGTCTTTATATTGTACTTGCTCTCTGTCTGTGCAGCCTGAACCCAGACCCTCTGGAGCGCCACACCTTCTGGACGCTGGGTGTCGGGGGAGTCTTCCTCATGTTGGCTCTGTACGGAGTCAACCAGGCCCAGGTCCAGAGATACCTCAGTTCCCGCACAGAGAAAGAAGCTGTAATGTAAGTGTCACCAATTTCTCAGAACGGGTTTGTCTAACCCCTGCTGTTAAAAAATGACATACTATACTATAAAAAAAAACACTCACCCATTGTGTCCTTCCAGGTCCTGCTATGTAGTTTTCCCCTGCCAGCAGATTGTCCTGTGCATGGGCTGTTTGATGGGTCTGGTCATGTTTGCTCGCTATGGAGAGGACAGCCCGCTGGACAAGGGCTACGTCAAAACTAACGACCAGGTGAACACTCATTTGTCTTAATGTTTGCATATTATTTTGGAGAGGGTGATCTGACGATCTTACATTGTGGATTTTCTTCCTCATTTGTGTTTTTGTCTATATCATAATGTTGAGTTTCTTTGTGCAGATGGTGCTGTACTTTGTGATGGATGTGTTCAGGGACCTGCCGGGGCTCCCAGGCCTGTTTGTGGCCTGTCTCTTCAGTGGAGCACTCAGGTATGAACCAAGGCTTCAGAGTTGGAAGTAAAGGATAATAAAAGCTTGTTTGCTGCCCAGGTTGAAACTACAGTTGTTGAACTTCCACCCGAATATCGCAGCATGTTGTTTAGCTGATCTGCATTATTTATAATCCCTGGCATAAACCCAAGAATCTTTTAATTATGAACCCTGGCGATAACAGACCTGACTGGCCAAGGCTACATTATTTTATGTGCAGAGTATTTTTAAAAAATCAAGCAGCTGTTATCCATTAATTTTACATACTGTGTTTTTTTTTTATTCTTTGAAAGTCCATTTTAGCACAAAATCGGAACAGTCTGCCAAATCATTCCCGTCATTCTGTGAATCATTAATTTGACAGTGTTTGTCTTGCACTAAATGTCGGCTTTTTTTTTTTTTTTTAAATCACTTACATGCACGTAGACATTGCCAGTGATATTTAAGATGTGAATTATTTGTACGTTGATTAGTAAGTTTGTCTTTACTCTCCTCATTAACATTTAAAACTAAATCACTCTGTCCTGTCAGCTGAGCATAAAATAATGCCAGTTATCGCCTTTGAAAAATTCTTCATAACTGCCACATCTGTGCATTGTCATGAAGACGTGTTGTTCAGGCTGCCATGTCATGTGGTTAAAAATCCCTGTTATTAGCTCAATCCCTGTTTTTCTCCCTCCAGCACCATCTCATCAGCTTTTAACTCCTTAGCAACTGTAACTATGGAGGACCTGATTAAACCTCATTTTCCAAATATGACTGAAGCCAGGGCCACGCTACTGTCCAAAGGACTCGGTAAGACAAGTGGTTTAATTCTACTTGTTTTCCTGACGCATGCTGTGGGTGTTTTTCCGTAACATATGGATGTCTGGTGTGTTAGAGAGTGTAATGATGATGTCAGATTTTGTTTTTTGGCTTTTTTTAGTGAGCACCAAGCAGTTATTTTTTATTTTTTTAAGCATTTTAACCTACTGTGGGCTCATTTCTAACTACAATATAAAGTCCTACAGGGTCATTACATTAACAACACAAAAGGAAATGGCACTATTGTACACGACTAGTTTGTGTATTTGTTTTCGGTGTGGTTGTAAAGTTAAGCAATAGTTTACATTCATACCAGTATGCTTTTTTGACTTTTCTAGCATTTACAGATGCGATGAAGTTGACTGTGCGATTTGTACTTTGCATTGCGTTTGTGTTCCTGCTCTGTTTATTGGCAGTAAAGCAGCAGATTTGACCACGATGTCTTTTATGGTTATGTGCTCCACAGCTTTGGCCTATGGGCTGGTGTGTCTGGCTATGGCCTACATCGCCTCCATCATGGGATCTGTGCTGCAGGTAACTTAATATTCACACGGACACTTTAGAACAACAACTTGAGGCATAATCAACTGATTACCAACAGCAACAGCACAGGGATATAGAGTTAGTCAGAGACTGCGTTAGTAGTAGTTGCTGTGATTTGTGGTGATAGTTTCATGACACACAGAGAAATGATGCAGATGTGCTCCTATTGTGTGCAGAATTCTTGACCAGTAAACATTTGTATCAGAAAGAAAAGCGCTTTAAAACATCTTATGAAAAGAAACATCTCTGCTCATGTGTAATTAAATTCATAGATTCAAGACGAAAAAAAAAATCCTAACCTTATTTTTGTGTTAGTTTGCATCTGAACAATAAACATCAGCAGCTCAAAGACAGAGTTTCTAATTACATCGCTCTGCTGTGTGTTCTTGCTCCCTCAGGCGGCCTTCAGTATCTTCGGGATGGTGGGTGGTCCCCTGCTGGGACTCTTCTGCCTGGGAATGTTCTTCCCCTGGGCAAACCCCATTGTGAGTGCTGCTTCAGCTAAAGGAATTCATTCAGTGTTTACCGGCTCCTGTTTTTTCTTCTTATTGTACTCACTGATACATTGTAATCTGAGAATAAGGAAGAAGGTAGCACAATCAGTTTTGCTTTTCCTCTGTTTTTCCCACCTCCCTCCTCTCAGGGTGCGGTGGTTGGGCTGGTAGTGGGCCTCGCCATGGCCTTCTGGATCGGCATCGGCAGCTTTGTGATGCGCATGTCTGGTCCCACGCCAGTCCCTCCACTCAACACCACTGACCTGCCGCTGTTCGATAACATGACTACCACTGTCATGACCACACTGCTCAGCGCCACCACAGCCAAGCCGAGGTAACACGACATGTCAAGAAATACGTTTCTCTGACAATCATGAGCAGTCGGATAATCTCATTTATTCTACTGATATTGAAAAGAACAGAATTGCTTAATTGCCACTGCACAGCGTAGAACGAAATTAAGCAGCGATCCTGGTGTCAGTGCTTTCACAGGATCGGCAACAGTGTAAAAAAGTGCAAATACTAAAATATAGTAAAACTAATATGTTTATATGGGCTTATCTTTGCTCTCTCCTCTCTCTCTCAGGCCAACGGGTGTGGAGGCGCTTTACTCACTGTCCTACATGTGGTACAGCGCTCACAACTCAACCACCGTGGTGGTGGTGGGACTGATAGTCAGCCTGCTGACAGGTAAACACATGGAGTTTGAAACGGTTTACTTTCATGTCCTTCACCATGTAGTGTCTCTGTAGTCACATTAAGAGTCTTTGAATGAAACATTTACTTTGACTACGTGGATTATGTACAGTTCTGTGAAACGCTAAGGCCAGATCATCAAGTTATGTGATACAATTGAACTTAAATGCTTCTACTTGTGACTGAGGTTCTTGGAGATTTTTAGCAGTTTTGGTTTGGTGCTGTTTAGCAAATGGCAGCAAGCTAATATGCTAAGCTAATGTCAGGAATACAGCAAACGTCACACCAGTTAAACATCAACAGGTTAGAATTATTATTGTTTACATGTTAACTCAAGTACACCCTCTGAGACCTACCACCTTGTCTGTAAACTCTTATTTTAAAGCAGTTTATTGGAGAAGCTTTTCTTTTTTTTTTATAAATAATCTATTTATGTAGCCTCTATATATTGAATTTCCCTTCTGGGATGAATAAAGTATTTTTCATTCATTTCATTTCATTCATTTCTCCCGTATTTCCTACTGAGCTCATAAACCACCGTTCTGTCCATGTGTCTCGTTCACACGTTAGGTCCTATGAAGGAGAAGGAGTTGACACCGGGCACAGTCTTCCCCGTCCTCGGCACGCTGCTCTTCTTCCTGCCTGAGCGCTACAGAGAGAAGCTCTGCTGCATCACTCCTCTTGGTCAGAAGGTAACCTCGTATTTCCACTCTGTTTTCTCCACCATTGGCTATCATAACACGTGCTTTGAACAGTCTCTCTACCTTTGTCGACCAGCCCAAAGAAGCCAACTCACAGCCTTATCAAATGGCCAAGAAAGACAGCAACGGAGCAGCTTATTGCAAAGAGGACACAGTCACAGAGGACAAGGAGGCAGAAAGCGACAAAGCACAAACGGAAGATGAAGACTTGGAAACGAGGGTCAGTCTGCCCTCGTGCCAGCTGGCGGCTCACACGGTTCAGGAGACGGCCTTGTGATTCTTCTTGCTTCTGCTTCGAAAACGCACAAGATGCACACATACACTTTCGCCCCAGCTGCAGCACCACCCGGTCCCTGGGTGGGAAGTGCAACAGGAGACAAGATATGAAGTTCATCGCTAAGTAAAGGTTCCTGAAGATCTGCAGCAGAGTGTGGGTGTTGCTACAGCACCAGTTTAATCGGATTACAGAGCAGACTCATGGACTGCAGAGTCTGTGCGGGGGAAAGGTGTTTAATCGGTACCTGATCATTTGTTTCTTCTCAATCAAAAAAAAAAAACAAAAAACAGCAACTGGAAATCAACTTCTGCCAGGCTGGAACTGTGCATTTGAAGCCCTAATGGCAGCAGCGAGAAGAAATTAGTCAGTTGCTGTTAGCGACGCTGACTACACTTGGGGTGCACGCGCAGGCTTTTTGCATCTGTCCAGATGTGTGCAGTCAGACGTTCAGACAGCTCTCGTGCACAGTGAGCTGCTCTGTTTGACAGAAACAAAAGAATCAGGTAGTTAATAGATGCAAAATGTAAAATGTGTTATTTTTGTAGAGAAGATGGAACCACCAAATCCCAGAATATGAAGAGAACATACTATAGAAAAAGAGTAGAAATGTACGAAGAGACTTTAACGGAGGGCATGTGCTACTGTGATAGTGTAGTGTCTTTACATGGCCTTGGTTCAACACTAATCGTCGCCTTCTAGCTGCTTACATAAACGTATAAGTATGAGTCCACTAAAGCAAAGCTGTGTGTTCGGATGAGGGCAGAGATGGCGTCTCGTGGTGGCAGTAAATCCTCATCTGCCACTACGTTGTTGCTACAAACAACATGAAGAGAAAACTACCCGTCAGTGTAACCAAAAGGTGAATGTTTTCCCTTAAGCTAGTCTGTGGGCTTTATTCTGTCGATCAGAAACTTTCAAGGATTAATCTACATATTTCCAATTGGACGTATAAATGAAGTGCTGCTGCACTGTAAAGTAAGCAAAGAAACCAAATACCAGTGAGATGCTTATGTCAGAAATATCAAACCAATAGCTCAGTTTCTCTTCTCTAAAGATTAAGATTACAGCAACTAATAACTCTATTGTACTTGTCTTCCAAGTAATATATAAAAGGATAGATTCACGTTTTTTTGTCTTTGCTAAGACAAAAATTGATTTAATACTAAAGCGATTATTCTCATCAATAATGGTGAACAAATTCCAGTTTCCAGGCTTCTAAACTTCAGGTGAAGATAACGAGGGTTATGAGTTGGATAGAATACATAGGTGTCTTCTAGGGGGTCGACCTATTATGGGCTTTTCAAGGCCAATACTTATTTATTAGTAATCAAAGAGCCTGATGATCGATACTTGCCGCTTATACATTTGCCAAAATGCAAATAATGGTGTTAAAATTTAGAATAATACAAACTCAAAACTTCATTGAAATGCCTTTATTTGAGTTTTACATGTTCATTTTAAAGAGAACTTTCCAACATAAACCCATCAGTATCTATTACTACCATTACATGTAACCAATTAAAGAAGCGGGACATTACTCGAGTGGTGGTTACAGATGAAGGAAATCTGCACCATCAGAGCCAAATTAGCACATTTTTAAATGAATTTATTTGATCAAAAATTGGTCTAAGAAAAAAAAAAATCGGATAAATGATGAATCACATCTAATAATGTGCCAGTTCAATAATCGGTCGAACCAAGCGTCTTCCAAGTTCCTGTGTTTCAGAACACAAATCCTTTTGTGTTTGATGAGATGCGGTGAAGGAATCATACCAGCGGTTCCTCAGCATGGCTGTAGTCATGTTGGGAAGGCGTTTCTTCTCTGCCGGTATTAAACCGAAAAACTGTGAAAACGTGCATGCAGGCATGTGAGTGTTGTTTTAAGACAGATTAGAATCGATTAGTTACCTTTTTGATGAAGCTAACGATCTTTTAAAAGGTGAATTGGAACAAGCAGATTGGCTCTATGAGTCGGGAATTCGAGCTCGCTGACTTTTTTTCTTTTCTTTATTGGATAGTGCAGTGAGAGAGAGACAGGAAAGTAGGGGAGAAGAACGGGGGGAAAGGGCCATGAGCGGGATTCGAACTCATGACCTCCACATCAGGACTGTAGCCCTGTACATGGGAGGCCAGCTCAACCAGGTGAGCTGTAGCAGCGCCCGACTTCTAGCTTAATTGATCAACAGAGTACAACAAGCTGCTCGATACATTAACTAGGACGCCCATGTCATCCATGGAGTATACAGTGTTTGTGTTATATTTTATTCAGAAATACACTTTGCGTAGTCGTCCTTTATGTTCCGTCTCTGTGAACGTACCCAAAGCCGTTAAATCTGTCTGGATATGTTGGTCACACGAGAATCCATGAAAGTTTAAAAGTGCCTCACTGACCGAATGTTCATTTGTGGAGTTTGTATTAACATGGAATGTGTTTGCAGCACACCATCGCTCCGTACGGCAGTTTTTCATCAGCTTCACATGGGTTAAGCACAAATGAGTCCCTGAGATCGACGAGACATTATCTCTGCTACCATCTGAACACAACACAGCTCTGAATTGCATCCAGAAGCCATCTTGAACCTTTGAGAAGGACCTACTTTAACTCCACAAGGCAGTTACTTGATAAAAAGATAATTCAGTCATCTCTGGTAGTTTTAATCTTCTTTTAAGTGCCCATCTTTTTCTTTTTTTAAAAATTGAATTCAGGTTGTTGTCAGTGCCAGTATGTGATTAACAGTGTGTGGTCTGAATATTCTGAACATCGTCGTCATGACTTTTGGAATCACAGAATTCTTGATTCATCACCATTTTTTTAAAAAAACAGTTCATCCATTCATCGTGTTCGATGCCGTGGTGTGTCTAGTGTTTGGTGCCGTCTGTGCTCTTGCTAATGGACCCCGTGTCCATGTTTTGTCATGTGACTTACTACGTTTGCTCAGCCTGTAACGACCAAACCAGTCCGTCACGTTTCCAAAGAGTTCGCGGCGGTTTATGGAGAGTCAAGATGAGGCACACAGATGTTTACTTCCATAGTCTGTAGTCGACACATGCCGATAACTTCACGTCTCGGTTGCCTTACAATGGATTTTTGAGTTTGTTTGCTAGAGTTCTATTTTGCGTCGAGGCCAGACGATCAAGGCTCAGCAGAAAAGAAGCAGCACATTTCAGATGACAGACTCTCCAGACCACTGTGTCCTCTGTTTGACGGAACGAAGCGCAGTCCGTTACAGAACCAGCATGCTCGTACCATCGCCCCGACACTCGAATACCTCGATTTTTATCCAAAGCATATAGAATATGAATCTATTTCATATTATCTTTTGCTTTTTTTTTTTCTTTTTTTTTTAAATCCAATAGAAACGTATATTTGAGGTCATATTTGTATATTTTTGTAATTTCACACAAAGCCTGTACACATTTCAGGAAGTGAAATGTGTCTTTCTATATGCAAGAACCATGAAAAGTTGAGTGAATGTGGAACATGAGGCAGAATTGGAAATGTAGCAGCTCATGGAAACAACTAGAACATACAGTTAATGCTTTGATTATTATTTATTTTGTCATAACACTAACACATTTTGCTGTTGATGGCATTTCAAACAAATGTTTGTCAGTCACAGCTCGTCTTTTTTTTCTTTTTTCTAGTGCTACATCCCAAATTCTGTCAAATTCCCACGTATTCAAAATCCTTTAATGGTTCCTTAAGTTGTTGAGCTACTTTTTTAATTACATGTGTCGATGTGTACTTTATTTATGATTACACAGCATTGAATCCTTCTCCTTCATACCTGAAATTACTTGAAGTGTGTGCCTGTAATGTTGATGATACGCAGATTAAACCCTCTTCACTACGTTTAGGGAACATAATTCAAGAGCTGACACACGACTGCTAACGTTACGGCTGTTAAATGTGTCCTTTAGAATCCCAGACTGGGTGGAGCACTGTGATCATAATGAACACTAACACAGAATAAAGCACAATAAGGTCAGTATTCAGTAGTTCTGTATTGAAAGAATCTGACTGAAGCCATCAGGGGGTTAAAGCAGCTTAGATCCTCTATTTGAGTTCATTTTCATGGTAAAATGTCTCAACAGGTGTAATCAGTGCTCACTCTGCTGATCAGTGGCCTTTTTATAGTGAATTGGTGACCCAGCATGGCACTTAGTAATTTCCAGCAACAATAAATATTGTTTTAAACAATATTTATTATGTTTGTTGTCCCATCTACAAGAATTCTACCTAATATGCATTCCAAAAAAGCAAAACAAAACCCATAAGCACTGAAGTCAAGATGACTCCTCTGCTTTGGCTGTGCCTTCATTTTGTGATAATGTTTTTTTTGTTTTTTTGTTTTTTAACTCCTCTTGATCCTGACGTACTTTTCATATTTATTCCGGGATATTGCCGTGTTGCAATATGAGCTCAAACATCTGTCCAGAACTGGACCAAACCCACATTTCTGAATGAATAAATAAAGTCTACGGATGTAAACGCCGGATGCTGATGATGGAGTGTGATGCTGATACCGGTGCATGCTCCTTTAATTGAGCGGAAGGCAAAGCTGACTACGTTCGAATCTGTTGTCACGTTTCACTGTTTGGATGTATGAATATTAGATTTCTAAGTTTGATGTACTTGAATTGAGACAAGATTAAAAATGATCACGGAAAATAAAGATGTTTACTGTTCTGTTGTTGCGGGAAGAAATGGAAACTGTCATCTGTGTGTTGGTGCCACCTAGTGGAGGATTTGTTTAGATTCCTCCTCGTTAAGACTGTTTGGGTCACTGCATCTGAAATCAACTATTTCTGATGAACTATCTCTGATTTGCCTGAACTTTTTATAGCATAAAATATGAATATATATATATAAAGATTTCTGTAAAATTTTAACCTGCTATATGAAATAGTTTGAGATTTTATTTTTTTAAATTGCCCATCAACCCACTTTAAGCACTTTTTTTTTTTTTTTTTTTTTTTTTTTTTTTTTTTTTTTGAACAGTGTCTC